ATGCGAACCTAACAAAAACCCATCTATATGAGAAATATAGGAAAAAAACGTGTGAATGCAACTAATGCAAAGTGATATGCAAAAGTGAAAATTATTTCCTAAGTCTATACGCCATGATAAAATGCACCTAAACTAAATGCAATCCTAAGTAGATAGGCCTGAATCCTAAGTAGATACATGGACTTGCGTCATGATTTGAATCTCATATGACAGTTCCATGATTGGATCCTAAGACCTGAGATATCTACGGAATCCAACATGAGGAGTTGCGTACTTTGAATACGTCAAACGTCTTGCGTAACAGGAGGACTATAAAGGCGTGTATCAGGTACGAAACGAATCATGTGATGGATTGTAGATAGTCAAGACAAAATTTGTACCTCTCGTAAAAGAGAGATATCGCTGGGCCCCTCGTGTGAGCGAGACTGTAGAAATGTGTTGCCGCACTATAGACGAACGTCGTCTATTTTAGACAGTCGAACTCAGTGAACGAGAAAGCAGTAGAATAAGATAAGGTGGCTTGTCCATGCCTTATGTTCGACTTATGATATCGTGATGCAAAAGGATCATCAACGGAAATCATCTCTGGCATTCGTAAGATCACGAACAAACTCTATTCGAGATAGGTAATCATAGTGTCTTTTAGAGACCGTCTATGACTTGTATATCCGAAATAGAGATTTCAGATTATACTTCTATATCGAATGAGCCTACAGGGTCACGCACGCAAGGAAGGCAAATGCACGAGAAAACGACGAAAAATCGAGTCGGAAGGGTCAAGACCGGACGGTCCGGCGGTCCAGACCCGACGATCCATAATTGTGGTCCGTTTCGTTCTGTAGTCTGGAACGGACGGTCCACGTTATGATGCAGATTGTCCGTTCTACACCTAGAACGGACGGTCCGCGTGCAAATCCAGACCGTCCGTTCCAGGCTTCGGGTTTTTCGAAAATTAGACCGAAATTAGGGTTAAATCACCTTATAAGAAGGAGATTAAAACCCTAATTAAGTAGGAGACTTTGGCAGCGATCTTGTGCAGACTTTTGACAGATTTTGGTGAGATCCAAAATGTCAAAGAGTTTCCAAGTCTCGTTTTCTCGAAGCATCATACCGAATAGCTGATTCGGGTCATAGCAGACAAGTTCCAATCGTTGGAATCCATCTCGAGGTGTGGATACGTGTAGAGGGCGAGGTAATCTTCCTGCCTTAAGTGATCGGACGAATTCTTCAGTTGATACAGGCCCCAGATCGATTGAGGTAAGCGTTCTAACGTTTCTACGTAAGCATGCATGCATGGTTCTAGGGTTTTCTTCAAATTTTTGTTTTATATTCGCTGCGCAAACCCTAGAATTGATCTCTTAGGAATAGGATTCGGTCTAGAGATCCTAAAAAATCCCAACAGTGGTATCAGAGCCTGGTTGCTCTATATGTTTTTCGTAGAACCCGATCACGCACGTTTTAGGATTTGAATCGTTTGAATCCATGTTTGCTTTGATTCTATGCATGTTTGATGATTAAATCTATGGTAGATTGCATGTTTCATGTTGCATAGACTGCAGGAGTTCGAATTTTGGATCTATAGATGAATTCGATGTGTTTCGGGTCTGATCGGGGCTGAGAACGGGGACGAACGTGATCTGATCACGTGACCCTAGACCGTCCGTTTTGAGTATGTCATACCGGACGGTCCAGGGGTGGCGGACCGTGTGGTTCGCGGTTCGGACCGTAAGGTCTGGACCGTCCGTTCTAGAGTGTCTGGAACGTTTGGTCCAGGACCTCATCTGAACTAGTCCGTTCTGCAGATGCTAGACCATCCGTTCTACTTCCAGAACGGACGGTCTGAGGTCCAGATTCCGAAATTTTTCATTTTTTAAGTCCGATTATGCAATCGTAGTTTAATCAGATCAACTATAACTCAAATAACATGGTTCGTTCGTTTGGATGGTTCATAGTGAATGAATGCATGCAACTTAATCAAGATATTAGATCTGCTTGATTGAGTGGGAGCTTCGGGATTGGGATTAAATTATCGAATGGATGATCTATTCGGATTATGTACAATCGTTGCACAAGAAACCGGTTAGATCTAGGAGCTCTACGAGTAAAGCACTTGTCAAGGCCTCGATCGTACGTGTCATGGGTGTTGGTTTAGTGCTCTATGATGTGCTGTTATGCGAGCTTTATTATGATACATTTGATGTATTGACACTTTCTATGACTTTATGGATGAGTGTTTGATTCATTACATATTGTGCATGCTTTTAATGTGTCATGAAATCCATGTATTGTTATGAACAATACTAACTCCTTAGTCATGTATCATTGTGGGAATAATGATATACTGATAACACGTATTTTGGGTGACGTTTTGATGTTGGATGTCCAGCGTATTTCACTCTATTTTATATATTTGTAGGCATTCTAGGGCATATTTGGCTTCGATATTGCATGGTTGTGTTCTTTGGTGTTTAAACAGGTTTTCATGCATAAAAAGAGCAAAATAAGTGGAAAACATTGGCTATGGAATATCACGGACAAAACGGGAACATTTGGAGTGTTTCCAGGGAAAACGTGAAGCTCAGGAAACGTCAGATCTTGCAAGTCCGATACATCATTAGAAAGCTCTCTTCGATATCTACACATAGACACCAAGATCACCCAAATCCGATATCAGAGCAGGAAGTTATGAGCGAATTCGTGAAGCCTGTCAAAACTGCTCAGAAACACGACAAGATCGGTTCGGGTTTAGCGAAACGATCTGTTCGGCATCGCAAGAATTGGAAAATTGCTCAGAAAGTGTAACCGATCGGTTTGCTTTGCCGAAACGATCGGTTCGACCCCCAGATTCGGGAAAACTTCCAATTTTGCCCAAACCGAAGTGAAATAAGAGGGGAAAACCTCTAGGTCGAAAATCATGCAAGCTTTACACAGAGAATACACCCTAGAGCACACAAAAAGGGGCGATTATCAGGAAGCAAGAGATCAGAGTAGAAGATGGAGATCACGAAGCCGAGAAATCGACTAAGCATTCTTCCTTTCTTCTATTTTACGATGTTTTGTATTATTGATATTAACCCCGACGTCTCGATGTTTAGCGAGTAGTTCCTTTGCTGTGGGTTAGGAATTTGCTATGTAGGGATCTTTGGTTTTTAATTCCAGACTATGTGGTATTATTTATTAGATTCAGTTTATTGAGTTGCTCTTAATGCGTTTGATCTTGTTGGCCACTTGATTGAATGAACTTAGGGTTTTAATTCGCATAGACATATGGGATTCTAACCCGGAAATAACTCAGTGAATGGAACAGGTATTGCATCGAGAGATGAATATTTGCCTAGGGATTATGATAGCGTTCGTTCATGCATCCAAGATTTTAGACTATTGAATCGAGAGATTAGTAGGATAAAGCCTGGATAGTGAGATTAGACTTGAGAGAGTTAATTCTACTTTAGAGCTTGAGTTCTCTGAATCGGATAGATAAACCACTTCGTTTGCATCTTTTGAAAGATCCTTGCATGTAAAGCAATCCCGAAGCCTGTAGTGTTTTCCATTGAAATTCTACAACCGTTTTAGTTATTTGCTTTGTTCTCGACATTCCATTCTCCACATTCCTATTATTTTTCTTGGATTTAGATTTGGATTTGGGTTTAACTCATTTGCTTAATTTTGTCCGTGTGTTCGACCCTAGCTACTACACACGATCCGTACACTTGCAGTTAATTGTTGAGTCTAGGATATTATAACTTGATCGAATTTATTCGCCTAGATTTGCGACATCATATATTAAGACTAGTATGATGTGTGATTGATGATCATATAGATGATCATAGGTATTGGATACGATCACAGCCATAGGTATTCGTTGGAGAACGGAATACTGGATTGACCCCCATGAGATTATCACATGGACTAGCGTCATGACTTGAATCTCATATGGCGGTTCCATGATTGGATCCTAAGACCTGAGATATCTACGGAATCCAACATGAGAAGTTGCGTGCTTTGAATACGTCAAACGTCTTGCGTAACAGGAGGACTATAAAGGCGTGTATCAGGTACGAAACGAATCATGTGTTGGATTGTAGATAGTCAAGACGAAATTTGTACCTCTCGTAAAAGAGAGAGATATCGTTGAGCTCCTCGTGTGAGCGAGACTATAGATATATGTGGCCGCACTATAGACGAACGTCGTCTATTTCAGACAGTCAAACTCAGTGAACGAGAAAGCAGTCAGTTAGATAAGGTGGCTCATCCATGCCTTATATTCGACATATGATATCGCGATACAAAAGGATCATCAACCGGAATCATCATTGGCGTTCGTAAGATCACGAACAAACTCTATTCGAGATAGGTAGTCATATTGTCTTGCTAGAGACCGCCTATGACTTGTATATCCGAAATAGAGATTTCGGGTTATACTGCTATATCGAATGAGCCTACAGGGTCACACACGCAGGGAAAGACAAAACGCATGAGAAAATGACGGAAAAACTGAGACGGAAAGGGCTGGAACGGACGGACTGAAAGGGCCAGGCCCGACAGTCCGCCAGGTCCAGACCCGACGGTCTACAGAAGGCAGACCGTCCGTTCTGGCTTATATTGAACATGTTGGTTTAGTGATCTATGATGTACTGTTTATGAGCTTTCTTTAGATACATTCGATGTATTGATACTTTCTATGGTTTTATGAGAGTATTTGATTCATTACATGTTCTTGCATACTAGATCTGTTATGAAATCCATGTATCATTATGAATGATACTAAACTCCCTAGTCTTGTGTCATCATGGGAATGATGACATAATAAGACTAGTATGATGTGTGATTGATGATCATAGCGATGATCATAGGTATTGGATACGATCACTGTCATGGGTATTCGTTGAAGAACGGAATACTGGATTGACCCTAGAACCATGCTACTATTGAATCATAGTAGCAGATATCCACACGTTCAACCTACAGCCATGTCTTTGCACACCTAAAGTTGTAAATTTTGAAAAATTTAATGGTATCATCCCTTGGTGTTGCAGACTGAAGAGTGTAATTGGGAATTTGAATGGTCGGAGACATTTTCCTCGACTGTGCATAGGTGCCGTTGGTTCAAACCATCCACTCTGCTTTAGATTTATCTTTCTTCTCTCTTTTTTGGGTCTTCATATGTGATGCATGGAGCTGAAAAGTCTCAAGATTTTGTCATTTCCCAGGCATCGGGAAACCGCCTGGAATGATGGATTTGAAGGCGTTTCTTCTTCAGAAGTTCAGCCCGGTCGAACGGAAACAGGTGAGAGCATGCTTTTAGATTGATTGGTTCCAGACTTGGAAGGAATTTCTGCTGTTCCGAACAGAATTTCTTTGAATTTCTCAACAGATGGATGAAGGGCTCGAACACCTAAGAGATCTAATTCCTAAGAGATCGATTCTAGGGTTTGCGCAGCAGATATAAAACAAAATTTTTAATGAAACCCTAGAACCATGCTACTATTGAATCATAGAAACGTTAGAACGCTTACCTCAATCGATCCGGGGCCTGTATCAATTGATCTGTTCGTCCGATCACTCTAGGCAGGAAGAATACCTCGCCCTCTACACGTATCCACACGTCGGGATGGATTCCAACACCTTGGAACTTGTCTGCTAGGACTAGAGAGCTCGATCTCTCTTGTGTGCAAGGGTTTTGGAGGCTTAGGGTTTTATTTTTATCCTTTTTTTCTTCCTTTCTTTCTTTCTTTTCTTTTCTTTTCTTTTCTT